TAAGTGGGAAACCAACAGTGAATATCAAAATATCCTACTAAAGGATAGAATACCACAAAGGAAAATGTGATCTGAAATGTAATGAAGTTTTAGAAAGAGTGTGAGGAATGAGGACAAAAAAGGGAGGTCAAAGCAGTCATACTTAATCTTCTTTTTTGAAAGAGTAATTAAGATATTGCATGGAGAAGGTGAAAGGCTGGAAAACAGGAGTGTTTTAAGAAGGTGTCAAAGGCTGTAATTAAGCTAAGGACAAAGGTAGGCATATAACTTGATTTCATGATATTCTGGTTACAGGCAATTGAATTTTTTTATTAACACAATTTACTTTTTAAATTTAAGAAGTAGTAGTAGCTCCATTAAATTTATTCTGATCTTTCTAGTGCAAAGCACATCATATTTACATAAATATATTCAGATGATTTAGCCAAATCTGTCAGGCAGATGATATGCTAATACTTCAGTCTTCTAAAACTTTGTATGGTTGTGATGCTATAGCTTACATGCTTACAATTATCATTTAATACTGATAAAATGGAGTATAAGAACTACCAAACTGGAATTTTTACTCCTTTTACTTCACTAAGTACAATTGAAAGTTACTATACAAGGTGAGAAACAGATGGGACTCATGACATTTGTACCAAAATGAGATTTCAAAAGACAGATGATGTGTGAATCAATACAGGCAGGTGGCCAGAACAACTCCAAACCCATGGCTGAAACACAAGGAATAAATTTATTTCATTACCTTGCTAACTGGAGGATCCCCAAAGAGCCACCTGGGCAGCAGATTCACATGACAGGGAACACAGGTAACATCAGGCTCCTGGCAGACGCTGGTGCTGCTGTTTGCACCCATTTACCAAGGGCCTGCACACACACATACTTTACCATGCTCTGATCCCCTCAGTGCTGTCTTTGATCACTCTCCCAACAGGGAGCTCCAACATGTCCATGACAGCACCTCCAAGTAAGTAAATACCTGTGTTATCTCTAGACAGGGACTCCACAAAACAGACAGAAGATAAACAGCAGCAGGCATAATACATGGGGTTTCCCACACTCTTACTCTCTGGGTTTCAGCATTCCCAGCTGCAAGGTCACTTGAGCTAATCTACTGTCCTCACTAATCTCCCACTTTAACTTTTTCCTCCCAACAGATGAAGTGTGTTTTTAAGAGGATGGAAAAGCCTTAAGAATACTGAAAATGTATTTCATTCTGCAGATGATTGACATAAGCCAAAAGAATGTGTCCCGTAATTAAGGATGCTCCCAGACATGCTGTTAAGAGCAAATCACACTCTTAGAAGGGGTTGCAGGAGAGGCTTAGTTGTTCAGCTCCATCCTGATTCTCATAGACTTCAGCTACTGGAAAGAAATTCCAGCTGACAGATGTGAAGATGTGACAGCTTTGCCTTGGGTACTCTTTCCACATTACCTGCCTGAACCCTTGGAAATATAGTATGAAAACACCAAATTTTACAAGAGACTAAAGCAAAACAAAAACACGACACTCTCCAACTTAAAAAAACACCCTGCTAATTTCAGAGTGATATTACACCTTAACAACTTCCAAATACTTCTTGTCTTAGAGTTTCTATAGCTGGATGATCATCTCTCCAAGAATACTGCTTGCTATCACTCAGTTTTGTCAAAGTGAAATCACCCAGATGAATGCCTTTTTTTCCCGTATTTCTTTTCTTTCTGCAAGCACCTGTCATTAATGAGTTTTTCACTCTTGACAAAGTTGATAAGTTACTTTTAAGGAACTGCAAATCTGCATGTGGTTATTTGGCAACATAATCAAGTTGTGTTTATATTTTAGAGAGCAAAATAATAGGCAATGAATTCCACTGCCGCCGGCAGTCAAAACTTCTCTAATACACCTCTATTTCTGCATTAGTTTAGGGTGAAGCACGACCAAATCTCTTCCAAACAAAAGGTGTTTCTGTCAGTGGACTGTTTCACTGAGATAAGAATAAAGGAAAAATAAGTCTTTATGCTTTTAGCACAGATTGTTTACCTTGTGATAGATGTAGGCAAGTCTATCATTGGGGAAAGTTGCATTTCAGTTGACATGATTGAAAATATATTAAATCTCTTTTTTTCTTTTTTTTTTTTCTTTTTTTTTTTTAACAAAGTATGACCAGAGTTAACTCATTCAGTTAAGACCAGTTTTAATGCATTGGCCTGGCTTTTTCTGTTGCTTTTTTACAAAAAAAAAACAAAAATCATATCTGTATCTGTAAAATGCAGTCTCTTTGCTACCACCTTAGTATCAGATTTTAGCAATTACACAGTCATTTCTCTTCACTGACAGTTAAAGTCACAGGGCATAGCTGCCATTTACTTTATTGAGACCAGGGTTTGAACTGCTTTGTCTGGACTGATCCAGTCTGGAGTCCTCTGTGTTGTCTCTGTAATTCACCTTTCACAACCAAATACCACAATTCTTCCCAAAGGATGTCAGCACACTCCTAGAGAACTTCTGTTATTCCTAAGCACAAGCATTATGTTTAGAACCATTTCTGTAAAAAATAAGGATAATCCATGCTTGGAAGGTCATGAAACTCCTAGGCTTTCAAATTCAGAGATCTCAGACTTAAAGTTTAGTGGTAAATCCTGCAAACATACTTAGAATTTTACATCCGTCAGTTCTGTTGGCTTCAGTGGCTTTACTGTTCTTAAGTTAAGCATATCAATGTGGCTTTACCCAGTCAGGGTTTAAAGAGATGAAGTGAAATTGAAAATTTGGCAAGATGAAAGGAAGCATAGGTTCTTAGTAAAATGTGTAAGTACATAGGTGTCCATTTGGATTTTTTTGAATGAGCATGCACAGTGTACAAGTGCTGGATGAAATATGTCACTCCATGATCCAGCCCCAATAGGCAGCCTGCCTCCTCTAACTGCTACCAAGAGCAGTTTCAGGAAAAATCCAACTCATCCTCTGTGCCTCTTGACTAGTAATGTTCACAAGGTGTGGACAACTTTAGAGAATGTAATTTACAAACTCTACCAAGTCATTCTTGATTTTTCTTAAGGATGTAGAATCAAGCAGATGTCATGTTCCCAACACAAAGGCTAATCCCACTGTTTAAATTCAAATATTTGCTCAAATACAGCACTAGAACTTACCTGATAAACTTTAGAAAAATTTAAAAATAATAAGACAATGTATTTTCCTAGCCTTTTGCAGCATTTTACCTATTACCGATGATAATTCCTAAAAACCAACAGTTTGACAAACATGCTAGTAAAGGAAATACTGGGTCAAGCGGTAAGATGGTAGTGAACTTGCAAGGAAATAATAACTTAGTGTTTTTAAAAGTATAGTAATATGTCCATCATATAAAAATTCAGAGTGCAACAGCTTTAAGAAAATTCCTGTCTTTTATAGGGCATTTGACAAAGCGTGGATTAATGAAGCTAGGAACACATCCAGTGATTTACAGCTACAGCTTGAACAGAGATAAACAGAAGAAAGACAAAAGGTTTACATCAAAACCTTTATTATCAGACTGAAAGCATGTCTGGAAGTTTTAGTAATACAAGGAGTTGTTTTCTCTCTCTGTAGGCAAATTCACTATTATGATTTGGAGAGCACTTTGCAAAGTCAACACACAAAGTCAACTCAGCTTTCTATTTCCAGGTTTTATCTGAAGAACATATTCAATAAGGCAAAACTTCCACTGATTTTTGCAGACAGTTTTTCTTGACTAAAGCACTAGAAATTGTGGTATGCTAATTACTTGGAGCCTAAATTATCATCCCACTAAGCACTAGAGCTACTATATTACTAGACTTTTTTGCGGCTCTCTGACATCACTGCATGACAGATTGATTAATTTTCATGTGGCTTTGATATTACATCATATTTAATACAATTTAATGCATTGTAGCTCACTTTAAAGATGCTTAACATCATTAAAAATGAAAAGGGAGGCAGTTTGCCACAGAGGTTTCTCATGCTCGTGGCCTGCCAGGACACTTCTTCCACTATCTTGCTAGTTGCCCATATTGTGGCATGTATGCCATACACTATATATATTTCTTCAGCAGAACAGGGGCCAGAGAAAATCCTGTCTCTAATAAAATATCTGGTCCCCATGCAAAATGATGGAAGAGTAAGCTTCTGTGCATAGAGAAAATATTGGCTTCCCAATCAACCATCTGGTGTATAGTGGGAATGGTCTGAGTATCTTTCTCAGTTGGAACATTTGGAAAATGAATATACTGTTGCTACAGCTCAGGCTGTTGGCCATGATGTTTGTGATAATGTTGTTGATTTACCAGATGTCCTGCAAATTCCTGGTGTGGTAGTGTTTCCTGCTCCTACTGAAGTCTTCATTACGTGATGGGTTTATGATTGCAGTCATTTCTCACAGAGTAGGAGGGAGCTGGGAACTGTGTCCAAGCACAGCATGGAATCCATCATCCACTCAACATTCAGTTTGCAAATCAAAATATATACCAACATGTTGCTTCTAGATCTCTAAAAATTACATGGGAACACATGTAAAGGCATGAGTAATACCACTGGCATATTTTGCCATTTTTCTAAATCACTCAATGCCTAATACAGGTGCTTACAATCTGTCTTCATGTATTCATGCCCATTCCTTTTCCCTACTTTCCAACTAGAAGGCAGGAATACAAATGGGAGTACTGAATGCTGTGTTCACTCATGCTCAAGAAGTGTGTTTGAGGTTTGAATAAGAATGCTGCACCACTCTGCTCCCGGTCTGTTACATTAGATTAATGAAGATAATATATGATGTACAGCTGAGCACCTAGGCTTGGACTCCAGAAATTAACTCCTCTCTTTTCCTTTCAGAATGAATAAGCACATGTTCTGCTTTCCCTACACTGTTTCATGTTGCCAATTCATAGAAAAGATACCTATTGGCATTCCCTATGTGTTAATGGGGCTCTGAATAACCTAGTCTAATGGAAGGTGATGATCTAAACTAGATGATCTGTGGTTTAAGATCCTTTCCAAACCAAACCATTCTATGATTCTATATAGGTACCTGTAGAGGAAAAGCATAATGAAGGCCAAGGCAGATACACAGAGGAAAAAAAGTCTATTTCTCAAGATTAGCAAATGCAACAGTCTATTTTTATCCTAATATCCCCACCATTCTTGTTTTTCTGGTGTGAACACTGCTTAGTCAGCACACTTTGGACATAATGACACCTTTCAGGCCTGAAGTAAAAGTGGTTGTTGCTGGCTGAGAAAAAGTCAGAAAATGAACAAGGACTTATAAATCCCACGTTGGCTCTGTAACAAGAAATAAACAAGAAATTTAAACAAGTATGAAAAAATATAAACACTATTTCAAATTCAAACAGACAACACTTTCTTCATCCTTTGCTTTATTTTGTATGAATGTTTACAAGTCAAATTACTCATTTCAAACCAAGGAATCCATATTGCCTAAGTATTGAGATCCCAAACTACCTAACAGATATCTAAAAGATGGATGTACCTTTCTCACAGGCATCTCAAAGTTTATAACACAGCTTGGCTGTGTATCAGAATAAGCAGTAATTTTTGGTGGGAGTGTGTAAGGAGCCAAGGAGCTGCAGCAGTGAAATGCAGTTAAGGCAGCTCAGTCCTGTGCACACCACAGCATTGTGTTCCATCACAAGTGCAGATAAGTCTCGTTTTAGTGGATATTTATGGAAATTAATAGAGAAGATACCAACATATCTGTGATTAGGTAGATCCAAAGTCCACAAAATCTGATATGGGAATGTTGATATTCCAGACTCAGTATGGCACAACATTAATAACAAAATTCCTTCACAGCTCCATTTCTTTTTACAGATAGGCAAGGGAAACCTATGGCAAAAAAAAAACCTCAATAAGAAGCAAGATTTTTCATGCCTCATGCAAGAAGGCATCATTTTCTGTGCACGAAAGTAGGTCCCAGAGTACATGTTGACTATGGGCTATTAATCTCAAAGCAGGAAATGGCATAGTATATATTACTTGTGTCATTTCCACATTTAGAAGCAGGCAGTCTTTCTGATATATATACAAATTTCTTATAAAGGAGCATATGTTTTTTCATGAAAGTTTCACCAGTGCTTTATTCAGATAGATTGGAAAACCTTCTTTCTTTCATATAATGTTTATCTCCAGGCTATCCAGATCCAGCTACAGTGAGAAACTATAAACCAAGTTCTGTCAGTGAGAGGAAATTTTGCAAAGCCTCTCTTGTAAAGGAAAATGAAGACAGAAAATATTCAATTTGTACTGAAGAGATGGTGATTCCACATGGCTGATCCCACTGACTTTGCCCTGTGTGAGATCTCTCATTCCTCATCTCATTGCCAAGAGCTGTCTTTTAGCACACATAATTTCCCCCAATATTCTGGCTTCTTCCCAGGTGAGCTTCACACAAAAATACGAGAGGCATGGTGCAGCTGGTCCCTGATTAGGTAACTAGCCACATTCAGGTAGGAAACCTGAAAACAATTAGGTCTTATTAAGGCTCATTGTATGTACCAGTCTTAAAGGATGTTGCTTCAGCTCAGAGAATCAGTGATAGCACAAAGAAATGGTCACTTGAAGACCTGTACCAGGTGATTTGGACAAGCATTTGCACCAGCACACAACTCTCAGAAGTAATGTTTACAAGACTGTTATGATCAGCAATTTCCAAGCTGTTTCCAATTGTGACTACACTTCCAGTTGAGATACACTTGCAGAAACCATTTAATTTCTTTCAGATGAATGCTCCTTCCCACAATGATTATCTGCAGAATTGCTGCCTCTGCTGCATCCTACTCCACAACACTGTCAGTAGGCAAGACTAATGCAAAACCAAAAATAACAAAACTAAAAACAACAACAAAAAAAAAGCTCGGGGTTGTTATGTGCTACCTCTTATAGTCTAGCTGTGTTTAAAATGTTGTTGACTCAAATAACTCCAACACCTACATCTCTGCTGGCAGATATCATCTCAGCAATAGTCTGCAAAAGGCACAGCTTAAGTATCCTAGCCTGACTGGTTTTAGCTTTCTCTGCTGGTGAAGGTGGCTTTAACTAACATGCCAGAATGTAAAGCCGTGTAGGTGGAGTGCTGGCAATTCCTTTATACCAACTTCCAAGAGGGCAGTATCCTCTGGAAAGAGACAGGACAGACAACTGAAGACTGTAGCATCTTAGGTTATCCAAGCAAGGCTTGCCAGAGATTTTCTGCCATGGTTCATACACCACTGCAGTTTCTATTCAAAACCAATGTCATTTAAAAGTTAAATATTCATATTCCCAGGGGTGAATCTGTTAACCCTTAACCTGTCTCCTGAGAAAAATAAAAAAAAAAGAGGAATTAAAAGTTTCAGTAGGCACCAAAATTGGATTTGATCCAGTTTTATAAACTGAAGTTGTCCCCTTAATCAGCTCCTCTTTGCCAAAAGTTTTTGTCTCACCTTACCTCATCTCTGGTTTTGGGTCAGGTCCTTTTCTTTCTGAAAAGCACTGCCATTCTCAATGTTTTCTTCAAAAGTAGTGAATTTCATGCTTCTTTCCCAAAGGCATGTCTTTTTCCCCCAAAGCTGTATGTACAGCAAATGGACTTTAATACATTTATGAATTCTGTCCTTTGTGGTTCTTGAGTTAGTAAAGCATTTAAAAGCATTATGACTAATCATTCTGGGTAATTGCAGGTTGTACATTGCCTGTTGGGACTGAACTTTCAGATATATGGTAAATCTTTCTCTGGATGTTGCAGTCAGTTGTCTTTCTCTTCATCATTAAGTGATGGGGCTGATGGAGATCAGCTGCTTCCCTTTGTAAGTGGTTAGCATTCTCTCACCTGCTATGCATGACTACTGAACTGAGGTAAGTTGTGACAGTCTGCCCATTCTTCCCTGTTCAGATTAATGAATACAGCTTTAATTGTTAATTCAAAGGCAGTCAAGCTTATATCCAACAATTAAAGTACAACTTCCCTATTCAGCTAGTGGATATATAATTTGGCACGGCCTTTTATACCAATTTGGGGTTAAAGTGTGTTTTTGTAGTAAAACTGACTTTTAAAAAACAACTTCAGGCTTCAGGGGTCTCTGTGCTTATTCTTCCTCAGAGACATCCAAGGGAGATTTCCTATTTCTCACACAAAGATGTTTTTTTTTCCAACTGCCAGTATGCAGATTCAACCTTTGCTACAAAAAAAAAAAAGTCTTCTTTTCACAAGATGCATAATTTCCAGTTATAAAAATACTGTAACCCAATTTTTGCCCTTAGTTACATCTGAGCAACCCAACTGAAAGCAAGGAAAAAAAAAAAAGAGATCTTCCTGTGAGGGTTGCACAGGTAGATGATCCCAAGGGACAGCACATGCTCAGCCCTGCAGCAGGCAGGGCCTTGACCAATCAGCACTGCCTGGAATGAAGCTCTCACAAACCTCTTCTTCCCCATCCTGAGCACATGTAGGAAACTGCTCATTTCACCATATGCTGTGATACAAATACACTTCCCTACATTTGCCTAAAATGTAAATTCATTCATTCATGACAGCATTTGAGTCAGATACAGGTTCCACAAATGTCAGAGGTAAACTCTTCCAGTTAATATGACATGTTTTTTTTCTTTCTCTTCCCACTTCTTTATCACACATTCATGCTGAAATGTGGAATCTGACTTTGAAATATCAAGTTTTTAAAGATACTCAGGGAATTTACGCATCAACTGTGAAGTGTCTATTTATACATCTGAACGGGATTATTTCTGCAAAGCAAACCTCTGAATATCTGAATTTAGTGCCTAGTTCTAATTTCTATGGCCTTAGTATTTTGCTATGGAATGGTAACAATGGCACTTAAGTTTCATCAAAAAACTTTAATTATTAAGACTTGCCTCTTAGATAGATAGATAAGCTGTCACTGCAGATTTTCAATTCAAATTATGTCTCCAGGGGGAAATATAAATATTAAAGTTACTAAGTGAATATTTTGCAATAGACCTATCTCCAAAGCTCCATTGAACTGCTCCAAAATGTACAATGGGAAATATAATCCTCATAAAATCCTGGCAAATTTGAGACTTCTCTTAAATTCCAGAGACCCCATCTAAAACAGCAAGTGATACTTAAGCAAGAAAGAAAAATTAATTCCAGTATAAATATCTGAAAAGCCAGGAACTTTGCTATGTGACTATCACCTTCTGCCACCTCTTACTTGGTGGACCTTAGATTTGGCGGAGGGCTTGGGTCTGAGACTTGTGAGTACACTTCTATGACTGAAAAATTAATCACAATTTTTTTTTTCTTCAAGCTTTTCTACTCTTTTAAATAGCACTCAGAGTAACTTCATTCAGGTTATGTTTCAGACACTAGGAAACTTTGTGTTTCAAAATGCATGTCCCAAAGAGCAGAGCTGACCTCAGGGTTTGGCATGTGAGTTAAAATTGCTGTTCAGAAATGCCACCAGAGACAGGTGCTTAAAGTCTGATGAAGTTTGCACTTTTTGAATTAGGAAGTCCAAAACAAATCCAGTGTTTCAAGGATGGCTTTTTTTTTTGGTCATTAATGCTCCCTCAATCTCCCTCTTGGCAGACATTAAAGCTTGAATCAGTACATTGAAATATCTAAGAAATGGAAGAGGAAGGGACTATTTGAGGAACCAATCCTATGAACTCTTCAGGTTTTTGCCAAACTTCAGAAGTGGTTACCCAAGCAAAATACAAAGGCACAAACATTAACATGCAATCAGTGACAGGCACTTATTACAAGACCAAGCAGCCCCAGACTAAGATTCAAGCAGCCCCAGACTGAATGTGCTAAAAGTTCAAGTCCTTGTAGCATTGATGTTTCCTAATTAGCCAGATGCCATCATCATAAACAGCCAAAAGAAAAACATTTGATGCCAAAATCTCAGCACTATCACCTGGAATTATTTCAGAAACATCCTTTTTCCTCTTTCCCGACTTGCTAGCACACAGAACTAGACTTGCAACAGAGTACATACATGTCTGAGTGAGAGGAGCCCCTCCAGCATTAGCATTAAAAGGTGGAGAAGGACAGAGGGCAGCAGCTGCCAGCTCCAGAGGGAAGACTGCACTCACAGCACAACACCCTGACCTGAGACCTCGCCAACCCACCCCTGCTTGCTCTCACTTTCTCTGACACTCACAGGTTTAATGCCACGTCTCTGTAGCTTTCCCAAAGAAAAGAAAAAAAAAAAAAAAAGGGCTCTATTAGAAGTTAATAGTCCACTTTCACAGCTACACGGCAACTGAATGTAATCTTTCTCCTCTTGTGTGACAGCCTTTTTGTGCATTAGATTGGAATAGGCTTTTCCTGCCGCTGTCCAGCATCACGCTGGCTTCAATGACTTTGTAAACACAGCCCACGACATCAGCTGCTGCTGGTGGCGGGGCGCTGTCAGGGTTTCGCCGGGTCAGGTCACTGTGTTTCATCCCTGAACTGCTGCAGCAGATCTGAGTTAGCAGCAGGCCGTTCACGACAGGAATATCTCCCAAATAGTTTTCATTACACACCCCCAGAGGAGTCTCTGAAAGCGCCTGTCGGTTTCACCTGAAATGGCTGTAGCGCTGCCAGTCTATTTGGTCTGACTTTGTCTTTAATAAGGTGTTAAAAACTCCTGTCTTTGAGGCTCTGCAGATAAAGCAACCTTAGCAAAGAACACAGCTGTTTTTCAGGGGAAAATCCCCTTGAAACCCATGATTTGGTTAATTGTAGGAGCTGGGAGGAGTGGGGGATGGAAGAGATACACACATTTTTAATATGATAACATGTTTCCAATCAAGCTTTACAAGATCCTACACAGCATGGTTTGCAGCGGAGTGCTGAGCGTTGCTGCCTGAAAAGAAACACGCTTTTTGATCATTATTTATTCTTCCCTTTCTTTCTCTTTTCCCTTGCAGAGAATAACAAGATTTGTGCAGAGAGGAGAAGACAGAGTCTGCAAAATATATTCTACCAAACACACCAGCTAGTTAAAGCGTATGAATGTGTAGACAATAAAGTTCACACCAGACAGTTAATGAAGCTGGGGAAAAAAAATGTGAATTGGAACGTAATGAAAAATTCATACTTTCAGTGCATGAAAAATAAGTGAATGCCCTTTAATTGTTCAGTTTACTTGCAGAGAGGACAGCTTGAATAAATTGAAAAATTATTCCAGGTTGTTAAAAGGAATAATGTTTGCCCCTCTGCAGCTTGTGCTAAATTCTTCAACCCTGCTAGACGTGTGAGTATGCGAGGGTGTGAGTCACTGTGGTCCGTCTGGTAGCCCACAGACCCAGGTACCAAATGAGGAACAGCAGTGTAAGCACCAAACTGGACTCATCCTTCACCCACTCATGGGCTGCAACAGAAAGTGAAGTGCCTTCTTGAGATCTGGGGAACAAGATACTGGGTTTTGCAGCCAGAGGGAGGAAAGGAAAGTTGTCACTGCCTCTGGAGGGAGAAGAGAGGAAAGGTTCTAACTGAGGAGAGGTCTGTCGGTCCATTTTCCAGTAGAATAGCACCTCTCTTCCTGTTGTCCCTGCTCCTCTGTCAAAAGCATAAATCTCTCTCAGAATGCTTTTCCAAACAGGCTGGAGAAAGAGGTGTGTTATTATGGAGGAGCCAAGGCCAGCTATGAGCCTGCAGTCTGAGAAAGGCTGCAGCTGTACTGCTTAGTGGGACTCTGGTTAATACGGAGAGTGAGGTCGGAGTAAAGGTATAGGAGGAAGGTGGGAAGGTTTGATGAATGGGATTTGATGAGATGCTGAGACCAAATGGGATACAGGGAGTAGTTGCTTAACGGGTCTATCCTTACTTTCTTTGTGTGCAGATGCCTCCCAAATGGCTCCCTGTACTGCTAAGCAGATTTCAACATCTATGCTCCTGTCCCTGTCTCACATCATTATCCTTAAAGACTGTTTGCTTGTTAAATGTTTACTTCTGTAGATCTGCACATCCTTCAGAAAGCATTTGTATTGTCTTTCATCAATAAAGCACTTGACAAATGCTTGATTAAACCCCAAAATAGCATCACTTACATTAAAAAGAGAAAATGTACTAGTGTAAATTAATTACATTTAAAAATAAAAAACAAAGGAGAAAAAAGAAAGAAGAGGGATGCAGGATAAATTATCCTTAAAATCTCACAAATTAAACCCCTGTCAGGGTCAGGACCTGCAGCTCTGTCCTCTACTGCTTTGTTCAGCACCCCAAGCATACCTTCACAACACAAGATACTCCAGTGATATTCAATATTCACATTGCGTCAGTTGAGTTTCTCATTGTGAGAACTGTCAATTCATGACATTTTAAAGAAATGTGACAGGGGCACTCTGAGTTCAAGTATAATCCCTTTGAACAAGAAACCCCTGCTGATGTTTAAGATTTTGTCTGATATCCTCAAAACCAACTAATCATGGAGTGGCTGAAATGAATTTACCTTGGTTTTTCCCTCCGAGTGCAATAATTTGTTGCAAGAGGGCTTTATGGGCTCTCTGCTGTGAACAGTGCAGC